AACTGTAGTGTGTTATCAAGTACCTTACTTTTTTTTTTAGCGATACTGTGAGGCACACATATATGTAACAGTTTGACAAATAAACTATGAAACTTGTTTAACAAGAAGAGTACAAAGTTTGTATCTCAGCATCTATTAATTATTGGTATGCAGGCTGGAGTATCTGTTTGCCTTCAGAGATGTTGTGTGGAGCTGCAAAGACAGAAACACAGTGTTAGTGAAGACACTCCTCTGTGTCTAAAAATATCAATAAGATACTCAAGAGTAACTCAAGAAAATTCTGAGACCGTGGTAACAATATAATTTGGAGTTAAAAAATGATTATTATCATAAAGTACAACGAGACCTCATGGTAACACTAGGGACTTATTTATTATATTATTATTATTTGCAAAGAAGAATGGGCAAGAATTTCAGTCTCTAGATGTGCAAAGCTGGTAGAGACAGACCCTAAAAGACTGGCAGCTGCAATTGCAGCAAAAGGTGGTTCTACAAAGTATTGACTCAGGGGGCTGAATAATTACGCACACCCCACTTTTCAGTTATTTATTTGTAAAAAATGTTTGGAATCATGTACGATTTTCGTTCCACTTCTCACGTGTGCACCACTTTGTGTTGGTCTTTCACGTGGAATTCCAATAAAATCGATTCATGTTTGTGGCTGTAATGTGACAAAATGTGGAAAAGTTCAAGTAGGCCGAATATTTTTGCAAGCCACTGTACTTCAGAAATCTGCAGTCCATTACTGCTGATGTGCGAAAAACAAACAAACAAAAAACAAAAAAACAAAAGCCCAGCAAGCCATGCAGTTTGCATGGCAAGGGTTGTTTTACACACCTCATTGAATTTAAGCTCTGTTCATTCCCAAAATAACAGTTAACTCTGTGTTACTGAAAAGTGGAAGTGTTTTGTTGTTAACTTTTGAATGTTTTTGTTTTATACCTTGTAAAGCACTTTGTGATCTTTTATCTAGAAATGTGCTATATAAATAAAATTTTACTTACATACTTACTTGAGTGCTGAGTTTGGATAGTGCATAAATCCAGTATCACGTGGAATTAAAATAAGGAATCAAGCACATATCCTTCACATCAGGGTACTCACAGACAAATTTCTCTATGTATGCTCAGTCATCCAGGTAAAGGTAATTAAAGCAGGAGAAATATTTCTCTGCACTGAAAATGCTACATCCCAAGAACTAAAGAAAAGTTAACCATAAGCTGTGTACAGGGAAACTGGGAGAAAAGATTCCCTGTGAGCTGCTGAAAAGTTACTGCACATTAAAATCACAGAGGAACATTGCTGTATCCAGTGTACCTGTTTTCTGCTGAGAGCTTTTCCAGAACTTTAAATATTTCTGGAGCTTTTCAGGGCAAGTCTTCATAACAAAGTTTTTCCAAAATTCACATCTGTATTTATCTCCCACTCATGTTTGGTGACGACAGCCTGTGGCCTTGCAGTAATCAATGTTAGAGTTTTCAGGTCCAAAGATATTAAGTCTTCTCCATCATAACCGTACTGTTGATAACCAACAATATCCCCGGTCACATCATCCCATTCACAACCAGCCATTTGCTGAACTACGTGGACACCTGAGAGACCAGCAGAGTAAAGTAGAAAGGCACAATGAGATCCCAGAGTATTCAACCATTAGAGATTAAAATAGAGAAACTATGCATTAAAAAGGTGCTGCAGTAATATGGTAGCAGACTGTCATTTTGTGCTTCTGTAAAAACCTGTATAGCTACATCTGTTTGACAGCAAGCCAGGAGAAATATTATTTTCTGTGACCTACCTCCAGTGTGGTTAAAGTGCTCCTTAAACTTGTTGCTCTCAGATTTAAAGATCTGTCTGTAACTCCTGCAGTTCTGTGTGCTGCTCTCCCAGCGATCGCCAACAATGGTGTTCATCCAGTCTTGTTTCAGGTCAGTTTTCTTGATGCTGGTGTCATAGTAAGCTACCTCTGCTTCGTTAGCAAAGCAAAAGCTAAAAAATCTGGGAATTCTGTGACTCCATTTAATGATGTGAGGAAGAACCTCAGAGAGTGTTTTTCTGTTAAAGGCAAGAACAACACAATCTGTATCTTGGATTATTTTTCCTGCTGTAAGTTCAATTTTTTCCCATATATTTAATTTTCATTTTGTAACTAATGTTTTCAGTCATAGTAATGGGGAAATACCTGAAAGCATATTAAAGCTATATCACTGTATTTATTTCTGGTGCTATGTCCTGTGAGTTTCATGTGGCCAGTGCAGCTATATCTAGTTAACTACATGTTATACTACACATTTAAGTGTTCCTGACATTTAAACTCATTTACACAAACACACAGTGCATTTTAAATGTATAAATTTTGATCTTACCTGCAAATGCAACACAACAAAACAGGAGTAACAGAAACAGAAGTGTCTTCATTTTCTTGGGGTAAGGCATGGAGCTGAACAGAAGAGTGGCGAATGTTGGACTGCTTCCTGGTTTTATGAAATAGGATACGTGAGGCATGTTTACCTGAATAAAGGCTAATCTCTAAACAATCCAAAATATCACAGTCATGATCACACAATCTTGTACTTATTCAAAGTATAATTAACGCTAGCACAGAGTTATTCTGATCTTTATAATCACATATATTTTATGTGATTCTACATGTGTTTTTTAATCCACTACCTGTAACCTCAACTGTTTTATTTCATTATAATTTTATTGGATGGAAGAAACAAAAAGCGTCTGTTTATTGTAACATGTAATGTGTGATTTTAGCATAAATATCAGGACCTTATTGCCTTACCTTTCTCCAGAATGTCACCAGTTTCTTCCACGGTGTCGCATAACCTACTCCAGTGATCTCCGCCTCCTCTGCAGGTTCTGGAAAAATGCCAGCGTAGCCTACAACTCGGCTCATTTTCAACCGGTATAACTTGTTGACTCCCTTTGTGATTTTTTTGAGGCAGTTTTGCCTTAGTTTTCCTCAGGAGTAGATGTGCTCATAAATTCCCGTTTATGACGCTTATGCGTACATTTAATAAAGAAGATCTGTAGTAACTTGTCATTTGGGTTTCTTGTCTGTTGTTTTTTATGCTTTTCCATGCTGTCAAAGTCTTCCAACATTGCTGTAGCCTAATCATTTTCACATGCTTAATTTTTGAACAATCATTTTAAATGATACTTTTGAAGAGGCTAGAAAATATCCAGACTGTGTGTTTTTGATTTTATGGTTCCTGATAAAGGCTCTGAGTAGCCTGAGACAAAGTTCAGGATTGCTTTGTGGTTTCGATTTGGTTTAGATTCAACTAGGAGCTGAAATCCTTCTGTAGATTTTTTGATCCATGCTGACTTGGTAGCATCACACAGTTTTGCAGATTTGTTGGCTGTACATATATTATGAAAATCTTCCCTTCCAGCACATCCCAAAGTCTATTGGACTGGTATCTGGTGACAGTGGAAACAATTTAAGTACACTGATATCATTGTCATGTTCAAGAAACCAGTTGGTGATAAATTGAGCTTTATGACATGGTGTTATCTCACTGGAAGCAGTTATCAGAAGACAGGTACACTGGTCATAAAAGCATGGACATGGGTATCAACAAACTAAACTAAACTTAAATATAATTTTATTTCTTTTTCTAAAAAACTGAACAAAACTAGAAAAGGTGATTTACCAATTACAGATACTATACAGTATCTTATAAAGGTTAATATATGGTTTAAATAATCTGCTGCTACATGCAGGACGCTCAGTCAGTTCTCAGCTGCAGATGTGGAACACCCAGCTTGTACATCAAAGTGTGCAGTATGGCTGTCAGAGCATCGTGGTGTGGAGAGAAGGGAGAGAGTACCCAAACGCAGGATTTAGGCAAGCAGCCGGTTCTAGAAGATGTCTGACCTAGGCCTTTTTAAAAAAGACAAAAAAGTGGGCAGGGATAGCTCAGTAGGTAGAGTGGTTGCCCCACGATTGGAAGGTCAGGGGTTCGACTCCCCTGAATGGCTACCCTGAGGTACCCCTGAGCAAGGTACCGTCCTTACACACTGGTCCCCGGGCGCTGCATTGGTGGCTGCCCACTGCTTCACTGGGTGAATGGGTTAAATGCAGAGGATTAATTTCCATACGGGGACTAACACATACTTATTATTATAATTCTTATGAGGCATAATGAACTGAGCTCAGGAGTGTCTATATTGATTGACTGAAGTCCAATCTTTGTGAGCTAGAATTCTCACTGGTTTGTAGTGGATCAAATACGTAATTTAATCAATGACAAGCGATGCAATTTGTAACTTTTATGGAATGTGTATTTTCTGGATTTTTGTGGAGAGTCTGTCCCTCTCCATTAAAATGAAACTATCTTAAAAATGAGAGACTGAGCAAAAATACAACTCAGCAGTAGATCAAATAAATATTTCCCTCAATATCTTATTTTCTTCTGCATGTGAGATTCAGACAGCGATGGCTTGTTGAAGACCTTTCAAATTAGAGATAAAAATTAAAAAGTAAAAGAAAGAATAAAATCGTGGAGAAGTCAGAGAATAGAACATGTATGCAATTTACAATGTCCTATAAGATGTTAACAATGCAGCAGTATTTTCTAGTATTTATACTGTGGAATAATGAAACAGACATGCTTCTAGTACTGACTTCCCGTGACTGATGTCAGTCTGCTTTAAATGTGAAAAACTTTTAATAGGAAGTGAATTTCACTGTGTTGTGAAAACAGTGAACCATTATAAACATTGTGTTGAATGAATGTGAAGCAAGAACAAAATAAAGTTCTGAAAGTTTTCTTTTTAGTTAATTTTGCATTGATCTTATCTCTACTCCAACTAAAAAAACAATAATTACTTAGTTACTTAATTACTGAGGTCAAATATTGAAAACATCATTCCTTTCACACCGCGTTCACTTGCAGGGTGTCGTATTCAGAATGCCAAACTAGGGCTGCACCAGGAAATAACTTTAGACTGAACAAACCTATTAAACCACTCGACTCTTGTTAGTTCTTCTGTTCAAGTTCAGCTGTCTAACCATGATGAAGAAGCTAATGATCCTGCTCTTTCTCTGTCATACTGCATTTACAGGTAAGATCACGATTCAAAATCAAAAAACCTTATAATTTCATATTTACTTGAGAAGACTATTCTTAGTAAAAGGAATGTGACGTAGTTAGTGGCATGACAACCAGTCATACAGCTGAATCAGTTATTGTTGTCCTACAGTGAAAAACCCCTTGAGGTTTTATGTCATATCTTTTGGAGCCCCAAACATTCCATACTATGTGAAGTTGAATGAATGTGAAGCAAGAACAAAATAAAGTCCTGCAAGTTTTCTTGTAAGACTATTCTTAGTAAAAGGAATGTGACGTACTTAGTGGCATGACAACCAGTCATACAGCTGAATCAGTTATTGTTGAGGTTTTGTGTCATATCTTTTGGAGCCCCAAACATTCCATACTATGTGAAGTTGAGGAATGTTGAAAACATGCTGGTTAGGCAAATTTTAATGTTTGTGAAAGGGTGTATTGCATGAGCATCAGAATTAGCAAACATGCAGACTTTATTTACTTAAGTAAAAGTACAGATACCAATTTAAAAAAATGCTCCAGTAAAAGTTGAAGTACTGAAGCAACTTTTCTAGTCAAGTAAGGCGAACCTTGTGCTATATTAATATAATATTAAAGTAATATTAGTACATGAGAAATGTAATATTTAAATCTAAGATTAGGTTAAATTAAAATGAATCCAAATCTATAATATAGCACCTACTGAGAAACAACAACAACAAAACAACAACAATACTTTCCATATTTAAAAGATATAGATCAAATTCAAATTTTATTTGTCACGTACACAGTCATACACAGTACGATATGCAGTGAAATGCAGACAACTGCTCGTGACCTAAAGAAAACAAAAAGGAAAAGGCTATGAATAAGATAGGAAATAAATATGAAAAATTAAAAAGGGTAAATTTAACTAGGAAGGAATAAAATATAAAAAAAATTAAGGTTAAAAATGAAATAACTGTACAACACAAATTAGAATGAAGGGTAAATTTAACTGGGAAAGAATAAGATAAAATATATAAATTAAAGTTGAAAATAAAATAACTGTACAACAAAAAACACAATATAGAACTATATAATAAATATATATACACACACACACACACACACACAATAACAGCAGCTGTACAAGTATTAACTGGAAATGAAGAATATAGTGCCCAGTGTTGTGCAATCCACATTATGTCTTGTGCAGTGCAAATTGGTAGCACTTAAAAAAATTATAATCAGTATTATTTTTCCAAAATAAAATGTAGACTAAAATATAAGACATAATTTACTTCTTATGTTGTCAGTACATGGATGGCATATAGGACTGAATGAGACAGAAACTACAGAGCCATCAGTATTTAGGGACTTGGGTTAAGTGTAGAGCCGTAAAACTTTGATTAGAGACATCAATGACACTTTGACAGGTGAATTTACATTTCCTCTTCTACTTTTATGAGAATATGCTAACCAAATCATGAATGAATTAATCACATTTCTGATGATTTCTGATAACTATTATTTCCCAATACTAACATTATATAAATTTATTTGCCCACAGTGAAACACTCACTGATGTATTTTCTCACTGGATCATCTGGGATCGCAAACATCCCAGACTTTGTGGGTGTTGGAGAGCTTGATGGCATTGAGGCTGGTTACTGTGACATCAACAACAAAATAATACAGCCAAGACAGGACTGGGCAAAACAAATATTAGATGATGACCGTGCGCACTTGGCGATGTACACTTTTCTGTGTTTTGAGAATCTGCCAGACTTCTTTAAGGGATTAATTTTTACATTGAAGCAGCAGTTCAACCAAACTGGAGGTGCATTATTTCCTTATATATGTCATATCATTATAAACCATAGGACATATGTAAAAAAAATATGAATGTACAATTGGTTAAAGACTTAATTTTGTGTTACTTGATTGAGACCTGAAATTCTCAGATACTGCTATTGTGAATATTCATTAAAAAGCTAATACAATAATATATTTACAGTACTACATTGTAATCTTCAGTTAAATCATTGGTAGATTTAGATTTTCCTTTAAAAAGTAAAATCAAAACAGTTATCCTGCTTTTTATAGCTTATAGCCCTGGAGTGAATCTGTTTTTGTTTCTTGTCTTTCTGAAGCTTTTTTCTTGTAATCTTAATCAATCAGGTCTAAGAAAATGTTGGCAGATTGTCTGACTGGAATCATAAGCATAACACAAACACTGGAGAATAACAGTGCCTCGCACAGTGCACACTATAAACATGGTTGTTGAAATACCTGTTTTCCCTTTCACTGTTCAGGTGTCCACATTGTACAGAAGATAGAGGGCTGTGAATGGGATGAAAACACTGGAGAGGTGACCGGTGTACTTCAGTATGGATATGATGGAGAAGATTTTCTTAAATTTGATATTAAGACATTAACATGGATTGCGCTGAAACCAGAGGCTGCTATGATAAAACAGGGCTGGGAATATGTCATAAATTATAAAAAAGACGTTGAAGACTTCTACACTCGGATTTGTCCAGAGAGGCTCAAGATGTATTTAGACAGTGGGAAAAGCTCCCTGCAGAGAACAGGTACCTTTAAATTGATTATTTTTTCGAATGTATAATGGCAAAACATTTACTCTGATTTTATATTAAAAGATTTAGAAGGTAACTGTGCTGCTACAATGTTTCATTGGCAATTGCTGGTTAAAGCTGTGATTAATAACGTCTTTAGGCAAAAACTGTATTTAGAGATGGAAGGAAAAATAGAGATTGACAATGATTGTCACTCATACTAGTCTGTTAATCTAATACTTAAACACCATTTTAGATAACTAAGACACTCAGAACACACACACACACACACACACACACACACACACACACACACACACACACACACACACACACACACACACACAATTTGCAGGGAAAATCTAGAGTTCGTGGAGAGAGTCCATGCAAGCACAAGAAAAACAAATACATCACTGATTAAAAACCAGGACTTCTTGCTTTGATGTAACAGCATTATCAGTCAGTATTTCACACCAAATCACAACAACAGTCGCCTCAAGGGACTTTATATTGTAAAGTAGACCCTGAAATAATACAACAGAGAAAACCCCAACTACACTGAAAAAAAGGCCATGTTGGATTTACTTGATTCAATAGTGGACATTGGTTGCACACAAACGTTTTGCTTTGGCAGAAACTTGAACAATTGAGTTAAATCAACACAACTTTTTCATATGTAATAAACATGTGCATTTTGTGTTCATAAAACACGATTGAAACATGTTTAGATGAAGTATGTTGAGCTCTTGGAATATTTTAATTCTTCACAATTTTGTCATTTTATTTCAACACTATTCAATAACTTTTACCCCAGCACTACTTGGTCACTTAAATACTACATGTTGTCTTCATATTACATAATGTTCAAAGTCTAGAGTCTGGTTACCATAACGATTGAATGGATAGCTACCATCCTCTTAACCTTATTCTGGTGCAGGGAAATAACCCTGAAGTGGTAGGTTACAAGGCAGGACAACTCACAAGTCTATCACAAACAACCATTTGCGCTTATATTAACAGGTAATTTAGAATCACCAATTAACCTAACTCTAACAACTGCTTGACTTTTAACTGTGGGAAGAAAGCAGAATACCCAGAGAGAACCCAGTGCAAACTGGCGAGATTGTGGAATTGAACCCAGGACCTTCTTAATGTGAAGCAACAGCACTAACCACCATGCCACCAATCCAGACTTAACGAAAGCTATGATTTCAAGGCTTGATGCAGAATTCTTTTGTACATTTTTGTCCTTGACAGGTTAAACCACAATAAATAGCAATAGCATACATGTGGTGTGTGTGTAGTTGTCTGCCTCTTATAACTCCAGTGATTTTCCTGCAGTTTGACATCTCGTGCGATCTTGTGAATTTCATGAGTTCAGCAACTAACCACTCTTACTAGATTGTATCAGGTCATCTCAACAAGAACAAATTAAGTTGTTGAATTTCGTACAGATTCTTCATGATTTAATTACATTCATAGAAACATGAAATGATTGTGTTTAAATTACAAGTTAGACTGTTTTAATGTAACAACCACCCAATTTACTTAGAGGCGGTGGCTCGATTTGACTGAGATGGATGCCTTCCTGAAACCACGATCCAAAGCGTGCGAGACTGAAATCCCGTGCGGTGTCGCAGTAAATTATTGACTTACTTCACTCGAACATGATATGAACAATTTAATCTAGCCTCTCTGCATATCATGTAGTTTCTACACTATATAGTTACACTTAACTTTAAAGCATGAGGCACTTGTGTTAAATACACGCAAGATGCTTACGTAAATCCAAGAGTTGGCCAATCCCTTTTTTTCAGTGTATCATATGATCCCGTTTGAGCAAGTGCTTTGGCAACAGTGGAAAGGAAACACTCCTTTTAACAGGAAGAAACCTCCAACAGTAACAGGCTGAGGTAGGGGAAAGGGGGAGGAGGAAGAAAGGACAAAAGTGCAAAACTGCTGTGGAAGAGAGCCAGAGATTAATATAATAAGTAATAATTATGATATGAATCATAGTTTGATTCTCAGGTTTACTTGACTTTCATCAGCAATTATTTTCTGCTGCTAGTATAATGGTTTTCATCTAACATGTACACTACATTTGCTTCTGTATTTTTCATCATATTTGCCTATTGAATTTCTGTGTCTTTAATTTTGTCTAATCTAATTCTGTGTGGATTGTTTCTCATCTTTTCTACATTTTCATCCATTTTCACCCCTTCTGTCCATTGCCTCCATTCATCCCTGTCCAACATTCCTTCTCTCCAGTTCTTCCCTCTGTATCTCTCCTCCAGAAGACTCCCTCCTCTCCAGTCAGCTGCCACGCTACAGGTTTCTATCCTGACAGAGCCATGATGTTCTGGAAGAAAGATGGAGAGGAGCTTCATGAAAATGTGTACCACACAGACGTACTCCCCAACCATGATGAGAGCTTCCAGATGAGTGTCAGTATGAATGTTTCATCATTTACACCTGAGGACTGGAGAAGATATGAGTGTGTGTTTCAGTTCTCTGATCCTAGCAGCGCCATTGTCACAACATTGGACAAAGCAGTGATCAAGACCAACTGGAGTAAGTGCAGTTCACCTCAGAAACACTGATTAGCTCATGTGAGCCCAATGAGAGCATTAACTGATGCATTTTGAATATTTCAACTTCACTATTTCATGACAGAAATAGTGAAGTTGAAATAGTAACCATAGTAACGGAAAAGTGTTTTTCCTAACACATAGCATCCTAGAGAATGACCTTCTCACATATGTCTCCAGCCTGTGTGCAGGTGCCTGATCTTAAATGTTAAGAGGTACTGAAATTATGAAAAATTTTAGCAATCAGCAAAGAACGGAATTCCAAAAACACCATCAGTTGCTCGAGTCTGTAAGACTAGACTGTCTCCCTGAACTGACTACATGAAAGCCTAGGCAAGGCAAGGGCAAGGCAAGTTTATTTGTATAGCACAATTCAACAACAAGGTGATTCAAAGTGCTTTACAGAGACATTAGAAGCAAAAACAAATAAAAAGCATGATTTAAAATTGATTAAAACAAGCAAACAAACAAACAAACTAATTAACAAACAAAGAAACAAACAAAACAGTATATAAAATGAAAACAGATAAAATCATGACTATGACATTGCCGCACACATGAAATCAGTTCGCATGTTTTAAATCATCAAACCACAGTAAATATTCGACAAAGATAACACATGTAAACACAAAATGCTGTGTTTCATCATTTATTTCTCCTAGTGAGGATTTAATGCATAAATTAACTGTGGTGTTTCACACAAGCTGAGCTCAATTTCTCTAGCCACACCCAGGCATGATTACTGCCACACATGTTCTCAATCAAGAAATCGCTTAATTAGGACCTGCCTGAACAAATTGGAGCAGACCAAAAGTTCCTCAAAAGCGCCTCCCCATGCTAAGGAAATTCAGGAATAAATAAGAAACACAGTAATTGATATCAGTGAGTCTGATCATAATACCATTTCTAAAGCTGTGGGACTCCAGCGAATCACTTGAGAGCCATCATCCACAACTGGCGAAAACATGAAAGAGTAGTGAACCTTCTCAGGAGTGGCTAGTCAACTTAATTTACCCCAAGAGTGCAATGACGACTCATCGAGGATGTCACAAAAGATCCCAGAACAACATCCACAGAACTGCACATTTGGGTTCTGCAGCAGGACAACGATTCAAAACACACCAGCAAGTCCACCTCTGATTGATAAATAAGGATGTGTTTTGAGTCCCCTCCTGTTTACGCTCTACACATCCGACTGCTCCCCTACCCATCTCTCAAACACCATCATAAAGTTCGCGGATGACACCACAGTGGTTGGACTCATCTCAAGGGGGGATGAGTCGGACTACAGAGATGAGGTCAACAGACTGACTGAGTGGTGTTCAGTTAACAACCTCCAACTGAACACCACGAAAACTAAAGAACTTATCTTGGACTTCAGGAAGGGCAGAGCAGACCCGGCCCCACTTTACATTCACAGGAGCTGTGTGGAGAGGGTACACTCCATGAGGTTTCTGGGCGTGCAGATATCTGATGACCTCTCCTGGACTGCAAATACTACAGCGGTGGTTAAAAAGGCCCAGCAGCGTCTCCACTTTCTGAGAGTGCTCAGGAGGAACAACCTGGAGGAGAGGCTGCTGGTGACATTTTACAGAGCCACCATAGAGAGCATCCTAACATACGGCATAACAACATGGTATGCAGGGTGCTCAGCTGCAGACAGGAAAGTACTGCAGAGGGTCATCAACACAGCCCAGAAGATCACTGGCTGCTCTCTGCCCAGCCTGGAGGTCACTGCAAACTCTCGGTACCTCAGCAGAGCTGGCAATATCATCAAGGACCACTCTCACCCCAGCAATCAACTGTTTGAACTATTACCGTCAGGCCGACGGTACAGGTCACATAAAACCAGGACAAACAGATTCAGGGATAGCTTCTTTCCCAGAGCTATCACCGTAGTAAATAAGCACAAAAACAATTGAACCTATTCCATACCGTCACTGTCATTATATTATGCTGCTATTCATACTGTCATTATATTAATGCTGCTATCCTGTATATATTGTACATACTATTGTTTGAGTACTTACGATTTTTTTTTTGTACTTTTTATATTTTACATTTATATTTATTATTGAAACTTGCACCAAGGGAGTGGCACTCCAATTTCGTTGTACTCTGTACAATGACAATAAAGGCTATTCTATTCTATTCTATTCTATTCTATTCTATTCTATTCTATTCTATTCTATTCTAAATGAAAAATAAACTGAAGACATTGGAGTGGTCAAAGTCCTGACCTGAATCCAATTGAGATGCTGTGGCATGACCTTAAAAAGGTGGTTCATGCTTGAAAACTCTCCAATATGGATAGATTACAACAATTTTGCAAAGATAAAGGGGCCAAAATTCCTCCACAGTGCTGTATAAGACTCATTGCAAGTTATCGCAAACACTTGATTGCAATTGTTACTGCTACAGGTGGCCCAACTAGTTATTAGGTTTAGGGGACAATCACTTTTTCCACACATGGCTGTGTAGGGTCGGATTTTTTCCCCTTAATATTAAACATCTTAATTCATAAACTGCATTTTGTGTTTACTTAGGTTATCTTTATCTAATATTTAAATTTTGGGGTTCAACTTGAAAAAAAGGCAGTGTAAAATATAAAAGTGAGATCAGAGGCCAAATGTACAATATTTTAGCTCTTTATATAGTACTTCCTATATGTTGAAAACACAAACCACACTTGTAAGAATAATAGTGTCTAAGTTATAAAGCTTTTTAATTTAATTTCTAAACAATAAACCACAAAGTTGACCTTTAAGACCTTGGTGATAAAGGATATTTCATGAATTGTTAACATGATCAGTCTAACATAATCCTTAAAAGGTTTTTATCAGAATTTATTCAAAACCTTTTGAGTTATCATGTTTACAGACAGAATGATATGCATGCATGACATCAACAACCTTAGTTTGTAGAAGAAAACCCACATGCATAAAATTATAGCCAGATGAATGCACCTTTGTTCTAAAGAGTTTTTCTGTGAAATTCGTCTTTTTCTTTTTCAGAGAAACCGAGTAAGTTGATTGTTCTCATCGTCATTGCAGTGGTTGCAATGATCACCTTGATTCCTGCTGGATACATTTTTTACAAAAAGAAAAAAAGTGAGATGCTTTATTTTTCTTGTTTTCTTTAATTTTCCAGGTTTTAAAATATGAGTTTTCTAAAACTTACTATTTTAAACATTGAGCATTAAATAGTCTAATTATTACAGTCAAAGTCAAAATAATATAACTGAAACCATCATAGTTGTAATAAATGGAACAATTGATTATTTTTTTTAATTTATTGGTTTTATGAACTTATAATACATTTAGTATGGATTAGATGATGAATCCATTCTTGACATGACTTGTCTTCTTTTTATATTTCAGGTGAATCCCATCTTTTCTGTAAGTCAAACTCATTTTATTCTGCATTGCTTTCATTTCAATTTTATTTTGTGCCTTTGGCTACAGTCACACTGAGCTACAATTCACATGGGCTCACAAAAAACAGCAGTAGTTTGAGACAGTTGTGAGATCAAAATTGCAATCAACTTGCAATCTCTGCGCATTTGAAAGAGTTGCTTAAAAAAAAAAAAGGGGGCCGGGTCTGAGGTTACTCACAGTCAGGTGAGATGTCCATACCAACTTTTGTGCATCAAGACAGTGATCTAACTGCAATAAGACAGAGTAAGTCTGCTACCAGTTTTCAGTTAAACAGGGTCAAGTTGGCAATTCCATTCCTGCAATAATATGATGACCTGCTGCAGTCTGTTGCAAATGTGTTGCAGTCTAGATCACAGGTGTAGTGTACTGGAGAAATAGTGTAAAGCATGTAAGAGTTGAGTCATTTTTACATATTTGTTAGAACTCAAATTCCAAAAGTATTGGACAGCAGGAAAGCAGTAATAAAATCCAATCAAATCCAATCAAAGCAGATTTCTTATTATATTTGATAGCATGTGACTTGCATTGCTTTCCACCGTCTCATAAATATATATAAATATATATATATATATTTTAGCTTATATGTAACTTATAACTTATCTTTAACTTATATAAGTTAAAGATTTGAGGCATCCAGACCTGCCAATTCTGATGACATTTCCCCCTCTCATTTCGATTAACTACCTCACATATAAACAAAATAAGACATGCTTTTTGGTGGTGAATTTAGCTCTTCCTCCAGTAAATTTCCTTTCACAAACCTTAGCAACTCACATTAATGTGATTGATCGCAATAAAATCCTCACTAGGAGAAATAAATGATGGTGCAGACTGATGTGTCATCAGTCTGTCTGATGTTTCTAAATTAGAGATAAGTTATATGCAAATATTTGACAATTCTGAGCCCAACTGAGATCGTTTGGAGACAGGTTGCCTCCCACTAGGTGGGCATTGTGACAAAAGGTGGTTTACCAGAGGTTAAGGGTGCTGAATGCTCAACTACATGAAGTTGGTCCTAGCAACAAAAAACATCAATGTAATATCGAGGGGACGACGCATATCACCCTGAAGTTGTATCAGGAAGGGCATCCAGCATACAAATCTGCAGAATCAAACATACTAAGCTACCCACTGTAGTGACCCCTTTGTAGTAAGGGAGCAGTTGAAAGTTTTTTTCAAGTAGCAAAGAGGCTGCCTCCTCTTTTACTCTAGTATGATTGAGGCCTTCACTAGACTTCATACTGCATTTACACAGTGTGTTTCTGATCTTACAGATTTGGATAATGGAACTGAGCTTTCTGAGAACCTGAATCCAGAAATGTGATTAACAAATGCAACTCAGTGAATTACCTCATGGAAAAAATGGAAGTCTTTGGCATGTGTCAGATACTGCTAAATGTTATTAAAAGTATAATTTCCTACCATAAACATGAAGTAGTTTTTTGCATTATAAATAGCTGCTTAAAAAAAAAGAGAAAAGAATTGACTACAGGAAAATCCCACTCTCTCCCTCTCTTTCACTCTCTCGATTAAGCTCCCTGTTATTGTAATGTATGTTGTTTAATTTTAAATTATGGGTTTTACTTTGCATTTAATGTTTTCCAACATTATAAATGACAAATTTATGAAATAACCTAGTTAAGATAAGCCTTGTGAAACCAGGTATAGAATGAAGGTAGTTTCATTCAAAGCCATCTACACATTCATGCCGTGCACACAGGAATAAGCAAGCCAGAGTATGTGATCTTTGCTTGTGCACTACAAATGTACTGCTGTCTTTGCACTTATTTCTAATTTTTTAATGAAGTGACTTCTGAATATTGCAATTAACAATATCACCCTATCTCTGCGAACTGTGACACAATGCTTCTGCCTTATATAATACTCAATGTCTCTCTATGTGCATTATGTCATACAGTGATTATATATTAATTAATCAAAATTCAATTTTATTTTTATCTATATTTCATTTTTCCTGTTTTAAAGTCAGCTGTACAGTATATTGTTAGTTAAAAAGATATAAAACTTGCCAAATTAAAAAACATAAAAAATGGCCACCTATATCCCTTTTGTAGAGACTGTTGCTTAATAGCATACCTTTGTAATCAACAGAAACCAAATTAGGCTTTCTGTATATCAATAAAGGATGTCTTCTTCCAGCTAAAACTATTGGATAGTTTGGATTCATGTCTGTCTTGGAAATGTCTGTTTTTTGTTTTGCTGCTTTAACAACAGTTAAGCTTTGTATATCCAAGGGTATTAGTTTTACAACTGAAGTCCAGATTACACAAGATCATGTAACACACAGACTCTGCCACACTGGGTGCGATGCATACCTTTTAATAAAGTTGAAGTTTTTTTTTTTTTTTGGCCTGTCCCGTTTGGATCTTTAGCCATCAGAATTGTTGTCTGAAGGCCAAGAAGGATGCTGAACGGATTT